GTGCACTAAATTATTGTCAGCGGTTGGATCAGTGAGACCTACTATCATCTAACGCCATGTAATGATTTGGTGCATATAAAATTTTCCTGCGAATTATTAGCTTATGTACACGTGTGTACCACAAGTACTGCTCATTTATGGTTAGTAAGTGCTTTTGAAAAGCTCTCCCAAACGGGTAAGCTTATGTGATTTTAATCGATTATATGTGTTCCCTATTATGGGTAAATAGCTGAAGGCAGTCATTCAGAATGAGTTGTTTGCTATAAATGGCTTTTGTAAGGCATCACACTCGTGCATGTTTGCAGCTTGTTGGGTTGTCCAAAGAACAGAGCGAAGACTACTAATCTGGTTTGCATATCTATGCACAGATAAATATCCGGAATGAAGATTTGCTAATTTGGCCACTCCGCGGACCCACACTCAATTATTTTTTCTTGATATTTAATATGTATTTTTTAAAAATAATACTTAAACATATTTAATTGTGTCCACTTTATTATTGTACTCTTGTGATTTTAATAAGGATAAACCCCTACTTAAATTATTATTAGCTTTTGAGCAATTTTATTAGAATTTAATTTAAGGACTTCATACATTGTGACATTAAGGCTTATAGTAAGTCCTAATATTTCAATAAAGTTCACTACACATCCAATAGCCAAAAGCCATTTTTTCCCTCCCAATTAAATCCCGAATTAAATGCAACTAACATTATTCTTAACATATAAATATATTTCGGACGTGTTCGAATAAGTTTTGCACATATTATGATCAATTTGCATTTTTTTTTTTAAAATTATAAGATTATTTTGTTATTGTATAGAAATGAATATTGTTATGTAAAAAATTATAGGGTCATAAATAAATGATTATTTCCATGATTTTGTATATAGGGTCAAAAAATTATTTGTTGATGACATTGACTTGCAACGTTTTCAAATGATAAAAACTCATTAGTGTCAATTGTAAATGATAATAATTAATCTCATTCTTGGTAAGAAGTTATAATTAATTTTTTATTTGTACACGCTATGTATATAAGTTTTTAACTATATATATCAAATAAAATTTTAAGTATTAAGTATGATTTCAATAAATATGAATTTTTAAAATTTTGCAATAAATTAAAAAGAATTAAAACTTATTAATGTGCGCGCCCTGTAATAATTTTTTGGCTCATCCTGTTGGTCAGCTGTGAGCATATCAAAGTAAAAATAAAACATCAGGCAGGTTATCTATTAATTATTAATATAGATACGTTTGCAGTACAATGTGGTTCTGTTTTAATGAATTCGCTTATATAAAACTCATGAATGAAGGTCGCGTTTCAAAAATTATGGGTGAAGATCATTGGGGGTGCCAGGTACACGCGCGACTTCACATGTGAATCAGTTGCCTTCTATTATTTATAAAAATCATGAATGAAGGAAGATTGCGTATCTACAAAGATATTTTAAAAAATTATGGATTAAGATTATTGGTGGTCCCATGTAAGCTTGTTGTTTGGGATTGGGACCACATGATCACATGGACACGTGCAATTTGTAAATTAGTTAGGCGTCACAATTGTGTCGGATGAGATAATTCTCGTCAAATTTTAATAAGTTCATATTAAAAAGTACTTCACTCTTATCTAATTCTTTTATTGATTACTTTCTAACAAGTCGTATCATATCAAATTTGTGATGTGCATGAACCGTGTAAATCGATTTACAAACGAGTCGTGTGGTATTTCTCTTTAGAATGGCGTCACACATATCCGATTAGTTTATTAATCGTGTCGCGTCCAATCTACTCATTTTTGAAACAGGTGACTTAAAGAAGATTTAATTTCTCTAATTTCGTATCGTGTTAACGAATTGTATTATATTATAACACCCCTATAATCAAAATACTTTGTTTTATGTTTGACTACCCACACATCGTTTAACAATTATTACCTTTTCTTTTTCTTTTTATCGTTGTGAGAAAAGTCAGGATAACAAAAAGAATATGGGAAATGTTTGATGTTACTCAGCATTATTGAGACAATGAAATATTGCAATTTGATGTAACAACTGTGTTGGTGCACTACATAAATTCTCACATTTAATTGTAAAAAGTGGTTTAGAATAAATGGAGGGCATTTATGACATTTCACTATTATTTATTTATTTATTAGTTACAGGTAGCCTAACCTATGGAACCTGTTTTAACTTTTTTTAATTTTAACAACTTTTTTCAATTAAACACAAATATAATTGAGCAAAAATTAAAAATGTCAGTATGAATGAATTGAGCAAATGTTGACTAGGGTGTGCCGATCATGTTAGGTTCATGTTATGACATTGTGGGTTTGTGTTGAGTATTGGTCACCCCTAATTTAACCTATTTAACTAATCGTGTTGTGTTGATTGACTTGTTTATTTTCGTATCGAGCTCGTGTTCAGATTATTGTTGAACCATATAAACTTTGAATAAAGAATTTAACGTTACGATTTTACTATCACTTAATTGAATTCATGCTCGTTTATTTTTTATAAACTAAAAATTAATTTAGTAAATAGGACAATAATAATGAGTAAAAATATTTTTTTTGTATAATAATTATGTCATTGTTTAATAAACAATAACAAATAGCTAATATTTTATTTTTATAATATTAATTAAATGTATTAATTATGTCAGTTTCAAATTATATAACAAAACGGATCAAGATTGCAGGAGCATAATACCACAAAATTTAGATGCAGCTCAATTGAGGTGTCACCCCCCCCTCTCTCCATGTGACCGCGGGGTGGTAATGATGAAGAAATCGTTGTCTTGCGTGGGACAGGTAATTGGGATAGAAGATTTGAGGTCGGGCGAGAACGGACAACTAACAGTAACAACAACAAAAGTGCATCAAAAGGGCAGCCGGCCTCCAACAATCTGCATTATTATTGTCATCACAATCCAACAGATAAGAAATGCTGCTACTTTTTATTTGTCGTGATTTGGAAAGGATGCCATACAAACACAATAATAATAATCAGGCACCCACAGTATCACAAAACAGCCTGAGCCACGTTTGGTTCACAAGCTTTTTGACACAACTGATTGCTGATGCGCACCATCAATCAAAAGGATGTTGTATGGTGAAAAACAGACAACGTAATGATTGTTTGGTAGTTGAATCTAAATGCGAATGTAGATGAAATTAGTCAGAAATGAAGTGGAAATGAAATTCCAAGGCAGATGAAATGAAAAATAATTTTTGAAATTCACTTGGCATGAAATGGGAATCAGATTCAAATGTGGAGATTGTTTACATATAACTTATTATTATATATATGGATGTAAATTATTTCCCTTGAGATTTATACACTCGTAAGTCGTAACACTTAAACCTCTATTGTCAATTATCATTAGTCTATCAATTAGTAAATTATACTCAAACTCTCTGAAATTTTTAAACACGTAATATTTAGATTTTTTAAGTTTAAAATATTATACTTAGATTAAAAATACTCCAATCAACAATAGTGTATCAAATATTTTAAACTTTACAACTAAAATTCATATTCCATTATGTCGTTTGTTGAAATAAAATTAAAAATAAAAATTCAATTTTTTCTTTAAAAAATCTTAATTAATGTACAATTATAGTATCTATTAAAATAAAACTAAAAACCAAAAAATTGATACAATATTTTTTATCTTTAGTTGACATAATTTGGTCAGTGTATCACTTAATCACTTGAACACCTGAAATTTATACACTTAGACTTCTGCTGTCAATGACCATTAGTATATCAACTAGTAAATTACACTCAAACTCCTTGAAGTTTTTAGACATGTAATATTTAGACTCTTCAAGTTTAAAATATTATATATAAACTAAAAGTACTTTAATTAAAAATAAAATATTAAATATTTCGATGGGCAGCATCAATCAGAAAGATGTTTGAATGACGAAAATAGACAACGCAATGATTGTTTGGTGATTGAAACTAAATGCATATGTAGATGAAATTAGCTAGAAATGATGTGGAAATGAAATTCAAAGTCAGATGAAATGAAAAATAATTTTTGAAATTCACTTGACATGAAATGGGAATCAGAGTCAAATGTGCAACTCATTAGCCCTGCAGCTGCTAAAAAAAAAACAATCAATATGGCACAAACAGAGATAGGAATTGGATATGGAATTAGTTGGTATCTCAAATGTGTGTCGTCATTATTATTTGAGTTTCTCACATGACAAATAGCTACACATGTGCATAGATCTGACTATTATTAATCCATATTTTTGCTTTTTAATTAATAGAGGGTTTTGTAACACCCTGAATTTTTATAAAATAAGAATTATAATGGAGGATTAATTTTTGATGAATTTTAGAATTTTATGTGATAAATATGAATTTCTTGTGTAAAGACGAGTTTAATGATTGTAATATCAAATATGTTTAATCTCATAAAAAATATAAATGATACTAAATACCCGTCATAACCGAAAAGGTTTAATAATGTGTCATAGAAAACGTGTCAAAAGTTGTGTTTGTTAACATGAATGTAATACGTGGCAAGCACGACATTGCCTTCTGCAAGTATGTGTGTATGATAAATAATAGACACTTGTCACATTGTATATTATGTGATATGCATGCATGACAAGTGTTGAGCTAGGAGAGATGCTCGTCTCTTTCATGTCAGCAACCCTGCCATGCCAATTTCTACCGAACGATTTGTTGTTCTGTCAACGCCACCTCACCGTTCGATCACCGACAAGCCCTCACGAGTCTGATCTCGTTTATGTCCGCCTAAGCCAAAACAGGTGTGACCTTGTAGTTGTTTGTTTCACAAAATGAGTTGGAAGATTTGAGACTAAAAAAACGTATAGGATTTCCTAGCCAACCGTTATAATCACAAATCTTGCTCATCAATATCAACTCTAGGGTAATCTTCATCGATTACAGCAAGAATTTGGATAGTCTTACTAACTTCTTAACTTGAATGGGATGTTTTTGGGATCAATTGGCTCAATCGGATCCAATTTGGGAATGCTCTGCTGATGCTGACAAATATGCCATACACCATGACAAGTTGAGATCAATTAACCCTTTTTTAACCCGTGAAAGGTTTGTTACTGCATCGGAGTCCTTTGCCCGCTCTGAAAGGCGTTGTTTCCGAGCTACTATCTGAAGAAACTAGAATTGGAACACTAAAATCTCAACGCACTAATATGGTTCTAGCTACTCCTCGAGGGTTCACCAGTGACAGTCATTTTCAGAAAAACTAGTCAAGACCGAGAGTTTGCAAACACTTTCACTCTACTGGCCATCTTCTCCCCAATTGTACAAAAATAAGTGTAAATATTGTCATGGAATGGATATGGTCATTTCATGGATAATTGTCCTGCCAAACTTCCTTGCCTTGAAAAATATTTGACCACACAGTCACGTCCAAGTATGAACTCCAAACTTGTCACTGATGTTGTTGTTGTCGTCCAAAATATATCAGGTGAAGGTTCCTCGTGTTCCCCTACCATACGCAAATATTTGGTTTTATCTACATGTGAAGGTTCATTTATTTTTTTTTTCTATGTGACTGTCTAGCTTATGAGTTCTATTGTGAATAAATGACTTAAGTGTTCTAATGTTACGATGAGAATAAGATGTCTTCGTGATAGATTATAATATTATGGTTTAGTTGCCTATGTGACAAGTGGAAAGAAAAATCAAATGGTTAAGACGATAAATGGTTGAATGTCTAAGTGACGTATTTTATTTGCGTAGTGAATACATCAAAAGAATGAAAGCGAATTGATAGATTGGAATATCTACGTGACTAAAAGTAGCCCAAGTATTCAAGTTTGTCCTCGTGACTGAGATAAGTTAAAGTTGATTTTGTCTAAGCGACGGAATCTAAATATTTGATGTGATGTGAGTTGTTCAAAAAAAAAATATCGAAAAAAGGATACATTTTGTTAAGTAGTCTGAGTGACGATTGTATACTGATATGATGATAAACTTGTGTGGTGTTTTGTCGCCTGGGTGGCAAAACGATTATTTATGTGTAAAAATCGTAGTACAATAAAATAGAATTTCGAGAAAAGTTATGGAACCACAAATATTATTGTGTGGTGTTTTGTCGCCTTAGTGGCAAGATGGTTATTTATGTGTTAAAGCGCAATGAAATAGAATTTTGAGAAAAGATATGAAAATACAAATATTAAAATTCCAGAAATGAGCAAGGACAACACATTACTTTATTTGCTCTATCTCTGAAATTTGCTTGAAAACTTTTCAGATTAATTGTACACATTACTTTATTTACTTTATTCATGTCAGTTTCTTGTTTTTAAAAAAGAAAATAAAATTGGGTTGTATATGATGTCAAAATTTTTGTTTTGTCATTTAAGCAATGCTTATACATATTTTTAGGATATGTATATTTTACATGGTAGCAGGCATGTGTGCCACACGCGCATATGACTTTTTTTTATAAAAAAATGATTTTAAGATAAATATTTCTAGAGTGAGTTTTCTTTAAATGTCATGTTATAATGTTTTATTAATAGCGGAATTACTTAAATTTTATTTTTTATAATAATAGTGTAGTGGGATTGGGTGTTACATTCTGACCTCGAACAAGCCCTTCAATCCCAACCATAGCGATGGTCCTCACCATATTCTCCCCTATATGCTGAGCCACCTCAAGCACAAGCCTAATAGAGTAGTCCAAAACCTCAAGACAACAGAAAAATCAAGGTTTTATTTTCTCAAATCAAATGCGACTAATCTTAATCATATTGTAGAAAAAACACCTTTTATTCTCTTCTCGGCCTTTTCCCCAGTGACGAAACTGATCTTCAAGAAAATTCAAACAAGTAGAGTCTTACTCAAACCGATTAAAATTCCATTTCAAGTTTATGCATTTTCTCCATAGCGTAACTAATATTAAAATAAAACTTCAGAAATTTTCATTTTCTTCACTTTTCCAAATCTCAGATTTAATTCCAGAAAGGTAGGGAAAATAAATAAAGAAGGTACAAAAAGTAAGAGCGTTGATTTTGTACGACGGATAATTAACACAAATAATACTTGTTGGAAGATACCTAACAATTTCTCACTCATAATAATTAGAAAATTTAGGTCAAATTCTAACAGAGAACATCCTTTATCGATCATGTTTTGAGCATATGATTTGCAAAGGGCTGTTAGATGAAAGAAATCAGAGAGAGAGAGAGGAGAGACGGAATACCTGGCTGTTGTCGATGGTGGCTGTGCGATGGCTGATGTCGGCGAAAGGGCAGATCAAGAGAGGAGATCTGTGTTTAGGAAGCGAGAGAGAAGATCTGGTGCTTCGTTTTTGGTTGACCACGAGAATGGTTACAATTTTTTGCTTCCACTCCTTCCCGATGCAAATATTCCTTTTTTTTTTTTTGGCCTCAGAACTTTTGCTCAGACAAATACTCCCTTTTTTGCTTCAGGATTTTTGCTTGACTCAAAAACCCAATTTTCTTGTAAAGAAACAATGTCTTTTTGTGATAAATTAACATGAACCTGCGTCGTGTTCTAAAAAAAAAAAAACAAACATGAACCTACGTCGCCTTGAATTAAAAATTTTTGTTTGGGTTCAATCCTGAAAATTCTACAAACAAATAGTCCAAAATATAATGCCACAATGGTCGACGGTACAAACTTTTTATTCCAAGACAAATTATTTGTTCATTATTAGTACAGTCCATGACAAGACAATAATAAGTTTCAAACCACAAACAGAATGACGAAAAATACATTAATAAAACACAGGACAGGAACAAAAGAAATACAATCACTGATAAAGGTGGATTGGAAGTCGAGGTTCCGGGATCACGGTAACGGGGACTTCAGGACAAGTAGTCAGACCATAGCGTTCCACCATGCATATATCTTCAGGTTTCACACCCTCGGGAAATTTCCAGTTGAAACCATGGAACACGTTGGCAACTGTTGTTCGAACAATCCTAAGTCCGAGGTTGTAGCCAGGGCACCTTCTTCGGCCCGAGCCAAATGGCAACAGGGTGAAATCCTGTCCCAGCATACTGATGTCCCTGCCCTGCAAAAACCTTTCTGGCTTGAATTCATAAGGTTCATCCCAGTGGTCAGGGTCCCTCCCTATGCTCCATGTATTTATCAGGATACTTGTTCCTTTAGCTATGTCAAAACCTGCTACTTTGCAATCCTCAAGTGCGAAATGTGGTGCCAGCAACGGTGAGAGTGGATGTAACCTCAATGTCTCCTTAATAATGGCCTCTAAGTAAGGTAGTTGGGGGGCATCATATTCTTGCACCCATCTTTCTCGACCAACTACTTTGTCAAGCTCTTCCCTTAACTTTGTAAGGACGCGGGGGTGTTTAAGAAGTTCATGAATTGCCCATTCGATTGTGACTCCAGACGTGTCTGTGCCACCAGGCATTAGGTCCTAATATTATAATATATAATTTAGGACAGCAAGAAATAATTAATTAGAATTAATTAGTACCATTAAGCAAGCCTAGTTAACAGTATAGCTGAATATACTATATATATAAATTTAAATATAAATATATAAAAAAAAAGCAGTATTAAAAATAAATAAATCAGATTTAGAAAGTATGTGGACTTGTCAACAAAAAAGAGAGCAAAAACAAACAACTAAACTTATGATCCGTTTGGTAAAAGTGATAGAAAATTATAATGATGGAAAATTATGAGGTCTAAACTTTTCATCCTTAAAAAAGAAGAAAAATCACTTTTTTTTTTCTTTTTTGTTTGATACAATAGATGGAAAGTTAGATGGATTAAGTTTTCATTATTTAGTTAGTATCGGAAGAAAAATAAAAGGAAAAAAAAAAAACACATGCAAATTTAACTTATCATTATACCCTCACTAATAAAAAAAATTAATTTATCATTATACCCTCTCTAATCTTTCTGTAATTTTTTTGTTCATATTAGTGATTATTAAATATCATACCCAATAAAATATTTTTTAATTATATGGTACAACTGACACATATAATTACACAATCAATTTAGTCCAACATGTAGCATGTGGCATTTGGAAAAGAAATACGACTAGTAGCAGAGAAACGAAAGATTAATAGAGGAAAAATTATGCTTGAAACGAGAAGAAAAGAATATAATACTTACATGGACTAACGCCTTGACAGCTTCCACGGTGAGCTTAACCTCAGGATCAGTATCCTCCTCAGTCATCTGCAGCAACACATCTACCATGTCTTTAGGAACGAAGTTATTGGCTGCCAAGTCCTTCTTGGCCTTGTGATCTGCAAGCACATAATTGTGAAACTTGTCGAACTTCTTTGTTAAAACTTTCATTCGCTTCACATATCCCTGCACGTCAAAGAAACGCAGCCAAGGTATCCAGTCCCCAATGTTGAGTACACCGTTAAGCACCATCCACTCATCTATCATCCCATGAAACTCACTTATTGAGATTAGTGAATCTTCTGTTTTATGGTCACTGAAGTACTTGTCGCCTAATACCACCCTGCTTATGCTGGAAAGAGTATAACGCCTTATATAGTTTTTGAGGATTATTGGATTTCCTGTCTGGGCATAAAGTGAAGCAAAGAATGTAAGCCTTTCCTCAACACGAATATATTCGAAGGAGTCAAGCCTATTGGGATTAAATAGCTCTGACAGGTAAATTCTGCGTGCTTTTCGCCAGTGCGGTCCATATGGCGCCCATGTCATGTCTTGGAAATCGTAACCAGTGTATTTGCCAGAAGCAAGAGGAGGCCTAGAGGCAAACAAACTATCATATGTCTTGAGGAATTCTTCTGCCATTTTGGGGGATGAAGCAACCACAACTGTGCGGGAACCATATTTGACCTGCATAATTTCACCGTACTTTTTGGCAAAAAAGTGGAGAGTTATATGTGGGAGGGTACCAAGTTGGTGTAAATTGCCAACAACAGGCCATGGTTTTGGACCAGGTGGAATTCTTTTGGGGGGATTTCGTTCACGGATTTTCTTTGAGATAAAGGCCAATGCAGCTAGCCATGCTAAGGCTAAAACTACCAGAGAACTCTCCATTGTTTCTGGTTGGGGGGAAAGCTACGGGAGATTCTGGTGGAGGTGTCTTGTGTTGTGTTATGTTGTGTGATCACTCATCAGTGTAGTGCATTTATAGTGGAAGGAAGCTCTAATAGTGAAACTTGTATTTGCATGGGATCCTTAATTTTCTATTCACCACAATTCACTAGTGCTGAATTATCACCAAACACTCAATTTCCTATATGACAATGACAATGACAATGCAAAATTATTGGAGGTCCGCCAACAAGCCTGATTATTGAGGTCATCTCCATTTTGATGCACCATTCATTGTCCGTTTTCACCCTGGCTCAATCAAATCTTTGGTTCCAGTCCCAGTCCCAACCACGTGCAATTGCGGCTGCCATTTATATTGCCGACCCGGAAAATCCTCGAATGACTAGGTGCTTTCATTTCATCTGCATTTGAATGTCATTTGTAGCTAATTTCATCTACATTTGCATCTATTTTCAACTACCAATTAGGACCATCATATATAATTGACATCATCAATCCAGTACCAATATTGCCTTGCCTATTTCTGCTGTGCAAAACATCCTTCTGATTGAATGCTGCGCATCGATATAGTTTTTGCCGTTTTGGGTAAGTACGCATCAAATAGTTAAAAACCAATCAGTTGGGCCAAAAAGCTTGTGAACAAAAATGATGGAACATTGTCTTTGCACGTGCTCAAAACCACGTGCTGCTGCTGCAGCCGACCAAAAAAATCCTCACATGGTTGAAGATTTGAACCCCTTTCCGTCTGGAAAGATTCCTTCTCATAATAACTGCTTCCAGGCGTACAGCAGACCAGCTACGCCCGTAAATCACATCAAAATCCTATTTAATACAAGGGAAATTGGGTAAATCACGTTGGACTCTTAATAATGTCTCTCTATTACCTTCATATCTGCTAAACTTTATTTCATTCATAATATTTACAATCTTTTAAAAATATCTATTAAATTTTATACTATATGTTTTGTTTAGGTGGGTAAAGCAATTTTTAAATAAAAATAATACTGCCCCAAAAAAAAAATTCTTTCTCATTATATTATATGACAAGAACAATAATGATCAAGTAAAAAAATAGACAATTGTATGAAAGATTCATATGTTAGAGGATGAAAAATAATATCCGATGAACAAAAAAAAAGACCGAACAAGAAAATTAAAATAGAAAAAAAATGAATTTGTTAAATTTGTTTAAACCTTTTACATTGAATTTGTTGCAAATACTTAGTTTATATTAAATAAAGATGGATTTAAGCTTGGGCCACTTATTTGGAATCCAAAACATCAAGTGAACCCTTTTAAAGAACAACCTTAATAGCCCACTTGCAGAGTGCCTGCCTTATCATTGGATTGGGCCACAACCCAGGGACATGAAAGCCCAAGATCGTTCAGCTCGGGAGGTACCATCCTAGTCATGTCAAGCACGACAACATGTACTTGCTCGAGAATGATGAGCTCAGTACAGAATAGGTCTCAAGTAACCCAAGTCACGCTACGTGTCCAGGAGACGGGGGAGACAATCTCTGACGACTCTAAAGAACAAATATTTCCTGATAGAGAGAGAATATTTGTATACATTCGGTTTCTAAGGATTGTGGGTATAGAAGACGTCAGGCTGACAGACCCTACTACAAGACAAATGAAGAGGAAATCACATAATCAGCCAAAAAAAGAAAGAATTCAAGAAACCCTAGATAGACAGATGTATAAATAGAAGATGAAGCTACTGTAAAGATGGGGTTTCCATAGTATTGCGTAAAAGGCTTCCCGCCAAAAACTTACTATAATCGCTATCTTCTTTCTTAAGTAATAGAATTTTCAATTAGCAAGAGATTTTATTATAGTTGATGTAGTCTTGACTTTTCGACTGAAGTGAACAACATATATTCTGTTCTTAGTTCTAACATTAATATTTATTTCCCCATTATTCCAAGTATTCCCAAAGTACTCACTGGGCTTCACCGCGCAGTTGTTCTGTAATTAAGTAGAGTAATTTTGAGTACCATCAATACTAAAACTCATTCTAAGAAAAACCTACAAATTATTCAATTTTCATTTCATCTTCATTTGAATTTCATTTCTAATTTGCATCTAATTTCAACAACCAACTAGGACTATCATAATTGACATGAAACCAATATTGATATGTCTATTTCTGCCATGCAAACAATCTTCTCAAATAGTGAGGAGTGACGACTCGATTTAGAAAAGTGGAGAGAAAAAGTTTGAGTTGTGGGTATATATTTATAAAATTCTTATTTTACCATTGTCTTGTCTTATTACTTGTTCACCATTGTCTTTCACTTTTAATATTTCATGGCCCCACAATACCTGAATATTAGTTACAAGAAAACAAATGAGCCAAACTGATTGGAATTTGTCTCTGCATGGCAACCTCTCCACTAGTAACTGAATTATCACCATGCACTTAATAGACAATGCAAAATTATTGGATGTGAGTCCACCATGCCTAATTATTGAGGTCATTCATTACCCCTTTTGATACACTGTTCGTTAACTAGTAGCTGAATTATCACCGCACACTTTAATAATAGATGATGCAAAATTATTGGAGATCCTCTGTGCATGCATCTCCTCCACGTCCACTAAGATGCCGGATTATTGAGGCCATGCCATACCATACCCCTTTGGATGCACTGCACTGTTCGTTGTCCGTTTTCGCCCTGCCCTGGCTCAATCAAATCTTCTGTACCAACCACGTGCTGCTGCCGAAGCGAAAAATTGTCACATGATTATTTGGGACAGAAGATTTGAACCCTTTTTTGCCTACAATGATTCCTTCTCATAATGATGCTGATTTGGTTCCACACTCACATGGCTGACACCTCGCATCTAATAATGATTCACAAATCACACAAGTCAATTTTATCAGCAGGTCCAAATCCCATAACGGAATCCCATAGATTAGGTGGGACCACCAATAATCTTCATGCATCCATCATAAAAGGCACCTCATTGCTGATTCACAAATGTCATGTATGTGTCCATCCATGTGAACAGCAGGTCCAAACATCATAGAACCAGTCCACCAACAATTTTTAATAATTTTACGTGGATTTTGATTTTATTATTAGATTTACAGTAGATCTATCATATTATTAATTGATATTTATTATTAATTAAATTTAATAAATATAAATATGATTCATCATGTAATCAAATAAGATAACTAAATTAGATACAAATAATATTTTTTCATCTTTGTATAAATGAACAATATTCCATTCATGGTTTTTAAATAAGCAAACAGAGGCACATACATACATTGTAATGCAAGCATATCTATACCTATATTAATAGACAACCACGACCTGCCTGAAATTAATTTATACCACTTGTTCAACCTCCTTGAGCCACTTCCACCTGAACAGTTAATACGAAAAATGTTTCCGCCATTAAGTCGAGCAAGCATGGAACCCAAATGGTTGTACGTATCTCTCTTTTCAACTTTGATAGCTCTGGTGGTGTACAAGTTGTTGTTTCACACAAGAGCAAGATCAAGATCAGCAGCAGGATCATCAAAACTCCCACCTAGTCCACCTGCAGCTCGTCCATTCTTTGGCCACCTCCATCTCCTGGAAAATCCCTTACATAGAACCCTTCACAAGATCTCGCTCAAACATGGTCCAATCTTCTCCCTCCGCCTCGGCTCCCGCCTTGCTGTTGTAGCATCATCCCCAGCCGCGGTCGAGGAATGCTTCACCAAGAACGACGCCATTTTTGCTAATCGTCCTCATTCCACCCTGCACAGGCACTTGGGCTACAATTATACTGCCCTTGTTTCAGCCTCCTACTCTGATCACTGGCGCAGTCTTCGTCGCTTGTGTTCGGTTGAAATTTTCTCCCCTGCTCGCCTCAACATGTTTCTTCCCATTCGAGAAGAAGAAGTCAAGCGTTTACTGTCTAGTCTCTATAAGATGTCGTCATCCGGCGGTGGCGACGGCTTTACTTTTACCAAAGTTCAATTGAGATCCAAAGTCTATGAGCTGACTTTTAATAACATAACCAGAATGGTGGCAGCAAAGAGGTACTATGGCGAAGTAGGCATCCAGGACAAGGAAGAGGCAAAACAATTTCACGACCTTATAAGTGCCGCTTTCAAGCTTTCAGGTGCTTCCAATGCTGGAGATTACTTGCCACTTTTACGTTGGATAGATTACAAGGGAATCGAGAAGAACATGTCCATTATTAGTAAGAAGATGGACAAGTTTTTGCAAGGTCTAATAGATGAGCGTCGCCAATGCAATACTAATGATACTATGATTGATCACTTGCTTTCCTTGCAACAATCACAACCTCAACATTACACCGATGAGATCATCAAAGGGCTCGTATTAGTAAGTATTGTCTTTCTTTTAAGAATTAATTATTAATATTTTAATTTATGCATCGACAGTAAGTTGAATTATAAAGAAGCCGTACCTAAAAAATTAAATGGCTGTGGCTATAGTTAACCCTCCATCAAACTTGCAAAATACGTAATTTTGTGTTTTTTGAATTTGTGATCCATACAGAACACGCTAATTGGAGGCACCAACACATCAGAAACAACAATAGAGTGGGCAATGTCTCTTTTGGTTAACCATCCCGAGGTGTTGAAGAAGGCTAGAGATGAGATTGACACTCACGTTGGATTTGACCGACTGGTCAAAGAACAAGATTTATCCAAGTTACATTACCTTAACAACATAGTTTCAGAGACTTTCAGATTGTTTCCTCCACTTCCATTGATACTCCCGCATGAATCATCCGAGGATTGTAAACTAGGGGGGTACGACGTGCCACGCGGCACCATTATACTGGCCAACGCATGGGCCGTTCACAGAGACCCTGAGGTGTGGGATGAACCCAACTGCTTCAGGCCTGAGAGATTTGAAGGTAGAGAAATTGAAGCGCATAAATTATTGCCATTCGGGATGGGAAGGAGGGTTTGCCCTGGGGCTGGGCTGGGACAACGTGTGGTG